GTTTGTGGTAGCAGTCTCCATTTCCTTAAACCTCAAAACTTTTAAAGCGGGACGGGGGTTTACGACTATTGAGGGGACTTTATTATTCTGTGCAGGCGAAGTTTAGCTCAATTGAGGGGGCCTTTCCACTATTGTGTGCAGGCGAAATTTAGCTCAATTGAGGGGGCCATTATTAATCACGAGCTCACATTAGTTGACAACTGCAGTCAAACCGTCCGCAAGTTTGGGCCATCCCCAACGCTAAAACGGGGGCCTGAATCATTGGAATAGGGTTTTGGCGCATAGTGTCGTACACTTCATTTTTAACCCTCAGGTTTGCTCACTGGTAATTATAAAATTATCCAGGCACCTCTTTTACCTAAGCCATGAAACCCTATAAACCCTGGTTGTCAAATTGGATAGAATGGGCGAACTCATGTGAGGGGCTTAGGTAACGCCTCCCAAAATCCAAGCCCACACGCCTCGAACCCCAAACCCGCAATGCCACCTCCCAGGCGAAACAGACGCCTAAACCCCAAATCTAAGACTCCAAAGCCCCCACAGATACCCAACACCCCAAAGCCCCAGGGACACCCCCAAAACCTCCCAAATACATACAAAGCCTCAAAGAACCTTCAATCTAGGGGCCTGAATAATTTGCCTATACTATTTTTAGGCTCCTTATTTTAAAAATAGCATAAAGGAGCCCAAAACCCTATTCTAATTATTAAGACCTTTATAATACCTAGAGAACCCTTATCTTAAGCTACCCCGTAGAGTTTTGTCCCGATCTGCTTACCCATAGGCCCCATAGTAGATCCTTTTTAGGATTACCTTATATTCTAAATATGAACCCCAAAAAGGAACTACTTTGGGGCCTCTGGGTACTCCAGGTTGGCTCCAGTAAAACCCTTGGCTTCCTCGCTCCTTTCGCGCTGAAGCGGGCCGTCGATCTTTTAAGCCGCCAGGACCTGTTTACTGGGTCCTTGTTGGATACGACATTACATGGTTGGCTAGAATAAGAACCCAATAGGGATTAAGAGTGATCGTGTTTGGTATAGCAACAACAGGGAACTTGTGTTGCGTAGTTTTGGAGCTGAGGGTCCAGAGGTTCAGGGTTTAGGCCTGGTGGGGGTTCGGGGGTTTCAGGGTTTGGGGGCCGGAGGAGCCGAATTGGGGCCCTTAATGAAGGAATAAGGACGAGTGATTTTGAACCATAAACCATACGTTAGATCTGAAACTCCAGGCGGAGTATTCTCAAAAAAGGGTGCCTTTTTGCATGGGGCATAAGCGACATAAGGGCAACAGGAGAGAGTTTACAAACCAGCCAGGCTTCTCAAAGATATTCGAAAACATGACACTCAGACCGAATATGAAGGCTTAAATAATTACCAACAGTTTTGCTGGGGTTCCTTAGTATGGTTATAATTATATAATATACCCCAAACCCTATTGTAATTATTAAGGCCCCTGAACCCTGAACCCTTATAGTAGCCCTTATCGAACCTTGTAAGAAACCCTTTAAAGGAGCCCCAAACCCTATCCTAATTGTTACGGCCCCCTATATCAATCTACCCTGAGCCCCATCCCTGCAGGATTACTTGGGCCTGTCATGGTTGGCCATCTTCGCTGCACTGAAAGGCCAGGCAGTCTGAGCTTTGTTTCAGGTCCCAAAGGGTTTAAGGTTTCGCAAACAGCAAGCCCACCTTCAGTCGGCTTTCAGAAGCCATGATGTACAAAGGAACCCTTGAAGGCTCAATGATTCAATGGGCGCTGTTTCGAAGAAGGTTTACCGTTTCGAGGTCCGTGTTGCTAGTGCCTTACTGCACAAAGGGGAGACCTATTCGAATCCGAATGAAGAAGCCTCTGGCTTAAGCCCAGTCTCAGTCTCAGCTGTGAGGGTTTGGGCACTGAATCCGACTTCCTCTGCAGAGGCATGACCCAGGCCCTGAACAACAGCAAGACGGCTGTGTTGTGCTTCATCGCACGCCCCATGGGGAGGCCGGGATGGTGGAGCAGCGCCTGCCTGAGCTCAATCCTAAACACCAAGACTCTAAGCGAAACCGTATAAGAGGAAGTCAATATGGCAGGGGGTTCTTGGCTTAGGATGGGATATTCAGAGGCTTGAGTATTTTGTTGATGATAGTCCTTGTGAGAGGGAGCAGAGAGCTACGGCAGGCGCCTTGCCGGGAGACTCTTTGCCAAGCTTCTCTGTTTGGATCTCCAGTTCCTCGGATCACTGTCGTTGGAAGATTCCGGGTTCAGGATCTGGAGAGCAAGCCCACGCAACAGGTAACCACAGTGAGGTTTCTGGACAGCGTTCCTTTCGGGGGGGGTTTCGGGGTCGGGCTTTGTGGCTGCAGGACTCATCGGGGGGTGCCCCGGAGGAGAAGGTCAGTTTTCTGTGGCGAGTTACAAAGCCTAGCCACGCTCTATACGTCCTAAACCGTGGCTTCATGAGAGCTTGGAGGTTTGAGCTTGGGGCCCCTTTTTAAGGATTGTCTAAAGATGCGTCGTTGGCTAGTAACATCAGCAGGTGCTGTCCTGGCCAAACAGCACAAGCACCCGTCTCGGGGATCTTTTCGAGGGTCAGCAAGCATTGGGATTTTGCGGCTTGCGTTCTTGCAGTCTGTCAGTGCAGTGAATGAGGAGGAAGCCTAGCGCCTCATGTTAACGTGTCTAGGACGAATTATCTTCGGGTTAAGGCCTGAACCCTAAACCCTTAACCTAAACCCTAAGCATCAGATGTCACAGAAAGGTTCCATGCCATGCGGCGAACGGGCGAGATCCTCCGAAAGCTGGAGCGACCGCCCCGTGCGGTGCTGCGCCTGACCATAGTTCGGCTTGTGGGCTAATGAGGTGTAGATTTACATTGTTTAGTGTTTAAGGTTTATCCGGGTTTGTGCGGCTAGGGCTTATTTAAATGGTTTAGGGTGCGATGTTTATTAGTCCGCGTCACTTTGCATAAACCTTCTCCTTCCGCCCGTCGCATCTGTGTATGCACGAAAGAGGTCAGTCCAACTGTACGAACGTGTTCAGTATGCGGTTCGCCGTACGTGGAATTGTATAGGGTTACAGCTATCTACCTGAACCAAGCAGAGTGTGCCTTTAGGGCTTGAGGGTAGGAATGTTACAGGAACGACCCGGACCCCACCAAACCACCTTGCCAAGAGTGTGACGCATAAAGACAGAGGCGAAAACCCTAAAAAGGTAGGTATGGTGGTTATGGGTAGTAGACCGTGATTGTTGGGCACTTGGACCTGTAAGCCTGGCTCAGCCCTTATAGAGCCCTTTTCGAAGCCTAATGCAGGTGCCTTAATAATTAGAATAGGGTTTTGGGGCTCCTTATTATTATTATAGTATAATATACCCCAAACCCTATTCTAATTATTAAGGCCCCTATATTTACAGAACCCTCATAATGATAAACCCTGATTGTCGAACCCTCATAGAACCCTTTTCGAGCCCTTATTGCTGCCCTCATGCTCTTCCTCTATCGCCAAGGTCGATACTTTGTTGCGCGCCTTGCTGTTCACGCTTGTTCCGATCTTCTACGACGCTTGCCTTGCCTCAAACCCTAAACCCTAAACAAACACTAAACCTCTTGACCCTGAACCCTTGAAGCCCAAATCCTTAAAAACTCGGCAAAGCCACCAACCTTGCATGTTGTGGCTTCTCTTTCGTCATCGGGTTCTCGGACAGTCGGTTTCAGGTCCTAGCCCCACACCCTGAACCCCCTACATCCAAACAGCTTCAACAGAAGCCCGAAACCGCCATCAGGAACTTGTCGTCGTCTTCTTCCTGCTACTATCCCGAGCGGGCGGGGGGGCCCAATTCAGGACCCAGAGCTGGGTTGCATGGATCTTCAATGGTACTTCCTCCTCTGGAACCTTACAAACCTTAAACCCTAGTGGCTGACGTGTAGATCCGTAGGATTCTTGCAAGGCAACCGGAAAGGCCTTCATAGGGCTTTGGGTTTAGGGTTGACTGGGTTTAGGGTGGTTCCTACTCCCAGCAGTGCTCGAACGGGCGAGTTCAGGGTTGTGATTCCCAAGTGTTCCAGCTTTTGCAACGGACTTTTGACCTTCTTCGCCGAATGCCACTCCCCTTCATGAAACGGCGAAATGCAGAATCCCAAGCTCATGCACCTTAATTTTGCAACCAATGCAAAGCCCAACATAGGGATCGGAAGAAGTAAGAATACTCTCCCTGAAAGTCCGCAAAGAAGAACCGTATTCTATTTTTGAAGCCTAAACGGCCTAAACCCTAAACCCTAAACCCTCCGAGACTGAGTAAGCTGCCGATTTCAGACCTGCGAAGGTACCGACGTTGCGGCCACAGTCCTGTTCACAGCCGGGATCCCGTTTCGGTTCCTTGCAGAGTTGGTTTATAAGTGTTGAGGCTACAGTGACGATCCAAGCGATGTTGTAACATTGTAAAGACTTGCGGCCCAAAGCTTTCTGGCACGCTTTCGTCCTCAGCCGAAGTATGTTACCTGGGGCCTTTGAACCCTGCGTATCCGTGAGTCAAAGTCCTATGTTGGGGCTCTTTAAGTGAGCCATTGGTGGTTCGGTCGAGAGAACTATGCTGTCAACATGTTGCATGCGTCGATGTCGGCACACAAGTATTTTCGGATTTGTGCCGGTCGTTCTGAAGTGTGCGGTGTGTCAACACTCCGAGAAATTCAGGGTTTGCCGAACTGTTCAAGGCATGCCGCCGGCGGCATTGAACAAACGCCCCAAGCCCTAAACCCTAAGCCCTAGGCATTAAGCCCTAAACCCTAAGCCCTAAACCCTATGCCCTAAACCCCACGCCCTAAACCCTAAGTCCTAAGCCCGAAACCCTAAACCCATTATCAATTTCTTTGTCAATGGTTGTCACAGGTTGGCTCTGAACCCTGAACCCAAGGCCTTCGACCCTAAACTCGAAACCCTACAACTTCTGTGACTGCTGCAGCATTTTAAGCAAGCCAGCTACCCCCAAGAAAAGCTCCACGATCCTCTAAGCGATCAGCCCTCGACCTACAGGGTTTAGGGTTTGGGGTTTCAGTGCTTTGGGTTTTCATAACGGTCTGGCTTCCGATATCTTTCTATTCTTAGCATCTTGAGTGTAGAAAGCCGATCGCTACAGTCCTCGTACACTTTGTCTTACACTTTGTAGACACTCACTCAACCAAGCAAATGCTACCGGTTCGGTTGAGCATTTGGAAAAACCTGTCAACTCCACTTGAACTTAAAGGGACAAGTAAGAGACCTCTATAAATCCCAATGGCCGCCTCCGCAGAAAGACGGTAGAGTTCCAATGTTGTGTGTCTATACACACACCGGGGGCACTGAACTCGTCCCTTTGGAGCCTTGGACTTGTTTTTGCGGGTTTTGGGATGAGGACCTAGGGTGTGTCGGGCTTTTCGGGTTTCGTCGAGGTTACCCAGAATGAAGTACCACAATTCCCTTTCCTACTTTTTTCGGCATACCTTCAAGAAAAGGCGCAATCGGACAAAGGGAATTCTGTCTGAATCGGGCTACTGGGGGACCGTGCTGAGACCAGGATTTTGCAATCTGGGTGTTCGGTCTTTAGGGTTGGGTGTACTTCCAGGGTCCGGGGTTTCGACGCTTGCTGTTTCAGGTGTTGGGCTTGGGCTTGGAATTTTGGAACTTTGCGGCTTGCGGATGCGAGGTGTAGATTGCAGAATTGGCATATACAGGGTAATCAAGAGCGTAAACACTGGCCATGGCAGTTCGGTTATGGCTAGCAGCGTTTGGCATAGATTTGAAACATCTGTTTCTTCTTTTCTGTAGGTTGTGTGGACTTCAGGATTAGGGTCTTCCGGTCTTGCAGGCACCCAAGACATGAATTATTGAAATCCCAAATTCTTAGGGAAGATCCTGTGATTCCAAACGTCATGCTAGCAGCACGGAAGTAAGGCCGGCCACGCATGGAAGAATTTTCGGGCTTGAGGCTCAGCCTAGTGTTAGTTAGTACTCCCTCCTCCTTTGACGAGGATTATCATAGTATCATTACTGGGGTGGACTTCTTTAAGCAGTATCACGATCATGATCTTCGTTATCATTATTCTGTTTATAACAAATGCATTCTCTTCGTACCTATGAGCGACCAAAGACATGACATGGTTTGGGCTGGGAATGCTTCTGGTGTTTGGTGAATCCTGCGAATCTGACGTTCCTTGCATGGTGCTGCTGTACTGCTGTCGAAATCCCAACCCAACTATGACAAGCCATGTTCTCGTGCATATGTGGACCTATGCATGCTCATATGACGGAAAGATAAACAGAGAGAGAGAGATAGAGAGAGAGAGAGATATGAGAGAGAGAGAGAGAGGAGAGAGAGAGAGAGGAGAGAGAGAGAGAGAGAGTGACACCAAAAATCTCAAGATCCAGATCGACATGAGTTTTCGATGTTTCGGGCACCAAACCTGGGTCACGAAGACACAGCTAAGTTATAAACTCGCAAAGATCATTGAGCACAAACCCTAAACCCTAAGCCCTAAACCCTAAACCCGCCCGAAACCCTAATAGGAGATGCTTAGAGTTCCACCCGCTGAGCCGGACATGCCGAAGCCGCAGGCATGGACCCTCAAGCCGAAACCTCAGGTCCTAACCACCGAACCCTCCAGGTACCTGCTATAGAGGCCCAGACCCCCAAAAGGATCTAAAAAATAGATCCCCTAAGGGGGTTCCTATAAAGTACCCTTTAGTAGTTAGGGTCCCTAATTAGGGGATCTATTTTTTAGATCTGTTTGGGGGTCTGGGGGGTACTAGAGCCCCTATTCGGCTTTAGGGTTTAGGGCTCAGGGCGTTTAGGGTTTAGGGCCCTGTATAGTAGGGGAGGGTTAGGGAACCCCAGCCTCTGAATTGTGAGCACTGAACCACGTAGCTACAAGCGCGTAGAGAAGCTTACGACGTAGCTTCCGCCAGCCAGAACAACCAAAGAGTCTGTGTAGTGAAATGCTGCACGATGACTTTACAGTTTAGGATAGTAGCGTACCTTTCAAACCCTAAGCCCTAAACCCTCATTTGCAGAGTTTTGCAACTGAGGACAAGGATGAATTTGGCCGTATGGGCAAGTCAGTGAGGGACCTCAAGACGCTTGCCTTGAAGTGTCCTTCGAGTTTAGATTTAGGCGGCAAAAAGGGATTTAATTAGTCTTTTTTTGTGGGTTCAGTTCTGGAATGTGGAGGGGCGGAGGGTGCGTGGAGGGAGTTTAGTCAGCGATTTGGGATTTCAGGGTTCGACCTTCAACCCAAAATTCAGGAGTTTAGAAAGTAATTACATGGGCAGTTCTGAAAATTAGGGTCCCTCTTAGGTCTTAGGTCCCCAAAATGCTACGGCACCCATGTAAACCGGACCCTAAAAGGGACCCTAACTTAGAAAACTACCCACTCGGGGTTTACTTAGCTGTTGGATTCCGAATCTCAGCCCTCACCTCTTCAAGCTGATATCGGGGCCAGGGTTTATGGTTAGGGTTTAAGGTTTAGGGTTTAGGGTTTGGGGTTTAGGGTTTAGGGTTAAGATTTAGGGTTAGGGTTTAGGGCCGGTAGACTTCTTGCAGCAGTCTGGGTGGAGTCGTCTGCATGTTATGTCCGCTGAGAAGATGCTCCAAAAAATGACAACCTTCTACGCCTTAAAACCGTACTCGAAATCACGGATCACAGGGTTTAGCCTTCCGGGCCCTAAAGCCTAAACCCGCGACCCTAAACCAACATCCAAAAGCGATCCGGTGCGCCAGCGAGAGAGGTTGCCCTTAAGCTCTTCCTTGTTTGTGTTGGCTTTAGTTATAAGGAGCCCGTTTCATTCTACATGGATCCAGTTTTCGCTCGCCCTTCCTTGGGCGGACGTCCCCCACTCAACTCACGAGGTTCAAACGAGCCAGTCAACTAAGCGCGAGAGAGAAAACTCAAGCCCTATCATTATATTTAGGGTTTAGAGTTCATCAGAAACCTAGCAACCCTACATCCGAAACCCTGAACATTCCAAACCCAGATGCCCCAAGCCCTCAAGCCCAAGCCCAAGAAACAGAAAGAGATAATGCACAAGTCGTTGAGGACATTGCTACATCATCGGTGTGGGATACCTCGGTTCAAACAGAAGCTCATTCAACGCCGCCCAGCTGGGTTCAGGGTGTGCAGAGTCCGGAAGGCCTGTGCATTGGATTCTGGGGTTTACATGAAGGATCATAGAGTCATAGGGGTGCTGTCAAGTTGGCGTACTAGCGAAGTAGTTGCAGCTGATTACGAATTACCACCAATCTGAGCATGCTTGGCATTCTTTCGTGTAAATGGCCTTGCAGAGACCGAGCACCCTAAGCCCTAAACCCTCTAGACTCCTCGCCTGCATTGCCCGAGTTGCGAGAGTCTAAACCCAAACCCTAAACCCTCCAGCAGGGCCCTCTGCAGGGTCGGGTTTGCCTACGGGCGAGTTGTGTGGTTTAATGGAGCCTCCGCAGCGATAATGCAGGTCGGAAGACGTAATACCAGTTCCCGTTCCTAGTCCGTAGTCTACACTACGTAGTATTGGTTATCATAAGATATCCCAATGGCCCCACTTCCATGTTTTCACCAACTTAGGACCCTATACTGTAGGAGCAGAACCTGGTCCTTCCTTCCTGAAATCCGATAGAGACGTCCTACGGTTTAGGGTTTAGGGTTTAGGGTTTAGGGTGAACATCGAGCAACGCCGAGTTTCTCCACACGTTCGTTGTGTCTTTGAGTGCTTGTGTAGTACTTGGTCTTACAGGTGCACACGACGCGGGTTTAGGGCATAGGGACTCTTAAAACGTAACACTAACCCGTAAAACCCAAAGAAGTCTCCCACAAGAATCGAAAGCTCACCCAAATCCTCACATACTTCGAACCCCCACCCCGCCTGCTGTCTTATAAATCCTGACTCCCAAACTCGAAACCCTAAACCCTCAACCCCATGCCCTAAACCCCAAACTCTAAAAACACCGAACTTAAAACCCAAACCCCAAACCCTCAGCCCCAAGCCCTAAATCCTATCCCACAACCTTCGGCCACCTGCTCAGGTAGCACGGGACAGGTCCTGGAGGACTCTGAGGTCTTGCTGTCACCGGGCGGCTTGCCCGAGAGTTTGGGGTTGAGGGTCCGGGGTTTAGGGTTTAGGTGTCCAGGCGTTCTTGCTTGCAAGCCTGCAGCAAAAAGGGTTTAGGTGTCAAGGGCTTAGTGGTTTGGAGGTTTAGGATTGTTTGGGGGTTTCGGGGTGTAGGTTTAGGGTTCAGTGCTGAGGCTTTTGGACTGGAGGGTTACTGGCTTTAGGTTTTAGTTAGGTTCGGGCTTAGGGCTCAGGGTTTTAGAATTCAGGCTTCAGAGTTTTGA